TTTGAAATCAATTATTTTCTTTGTAATTCTTAAACAAGGTGAGGGAATGTGTGCTTTTATGTCCATGCCTGCATGTGTGTCTGTGTATCTTCATGCCTGTGCATGCATATGAGTTCTTCTGTGTGTGTGCATGTGTGGAGTTGGGTATGTGTGCATGTGTGGGGCTTGCTCTTAGAGCCATGTCTAGTTCTGAGATTTGGTAATGTGTTTTCATATGGACTGCTTTCATACCATTTTCCCTATTACTCTTAGAATTACAAAGGATGTCAGGAGGTTTGAGTTTTGATCCCATTGGGGCAACTCACTTAATCTCTTTGGGTGTTAGTTTCTTCATATGCAAAATAAAGATGTTTTGCCAGTAATTGGCAGTGTTATCCGTAAGAGTGTTAAAGAAATAAAAAACTAGGTTATGTTTAAAAAGAAAACAGTACAGCTCTTGTATATTTTCCAAAGATTATATAGACACAGGATTAAGGTCTAGCAAAGTAGAATAATAGGAAATTGAATAAAAAATTACTTTGATTTTTTACTTTGATTACTTTGGTGCCACAGAGTGGAATCCAGTGGTTAAAAATTATGTTAGAAAGGAATTATCTTGATGGGAAAGTTTGGATATTTTGAGAGTATGAGAGGAGAAATAGAGTAGTACATTAAATATAAATAAATGGTGATGATAATCCTATGTTACTTAGATAAACTGCCCCTTTGTCTTTTGCATTCCTGGGCATATTTTGTTCCTACTCTTACACATTATGTCCTGAATTTTCATGTGTCTCACAACTTCATTCCTGCTGATAGTGATGATCCAGGGACCACATTTTGAGAATCATTACTTTAGAAAATCTCACCAGTGGTAGATTTAATGGCTTGGGTGAAGTGAAGGCCATGGTGTTAAGGCCCAGAGATCCTCCTAGATTGATATCATTTTGTTCTTTTAGATCATTTTATTTTATTTTATTTTATTTTATTTTTTTAATTTATTTTTTACTATATCTTTATTGATTTGAGAGAGAGGAAGGGATGGGGGAGAAAGAGATAGAAACATCAATGATGAGAGAGTCATTGATTGGCTGCCTCCTGCAACTGGGGATTGAGCCTGCAACCCAGGCATGTGCCCTGACCGGGAATCCAACCCTGATTGCCTGGATCCTAGGTCGATGCTCAATCGCTGAGCCACACCCGGCCAGACGATCATTTTATTCTTAATGAGCTCTAGGGAAAGGATGGCTTGATGGTCAGTTTTAATTTTTTGTAAAGGAATCTTCAAGATCAAATGTAGAAAAGTGAAAGATGGTATTGCAAATTAAGTTTATGTATAATATAGTTTTTAACTGTTTTGATTTTGCTTTTTAAAACATTTTTGAATATCACTTGAAAATTTAAGAGTTGAAGGTTGAAATCAGCTGTTTCTCTGACTTTCACTCTTTGCTAGTTACAGTGTTTCCATGTTACAAGGGAAGACAGTGAGGTGAAAGATAATCTTGCTTTTTTATGGTCAAGCTGGTTTTGAGTCTCATTACTTATTAACTGTGTGATCTTGGGCAAGTTGCTTAAATTCTCACTTTCAGATTCCTTAAGTATTATAAAACATTGGAGAGTATGATAAGAATAACAGATAATGTATGATGTGTATATCTACCATATGGCAAGTAGATGCTTGCTTTGTGGTAGCTGTGAATATTGTTAGGAAGTTAAACATATGTATTATAGCTATAGAAACATACATTTTTCTTATGGCTAATTGCTTAATAAAACTTCTACTACCTTGCCCTGGGAGTAAATATTGGGTTCAAAGTGCTGTTTTGCCACTGACAGATTGGGTAGCCCTAGAAGTTAAAGCAGCTTTGATGGGCCTTGGCTTTATTATTTATCTCAATATTAATTTTCATAATCATAGTCTTTATGTTCTCTAAGATCTCTTTTTCTACAATTCTGTGATATTAGGAAGATAGCCGTTAAGTAAAATATGGAACTACTTAATCTTGACATATTTACTGTTAACTAAGCAGCTAAAGTGCTTATATCATTGATAAGAATTACTTAAATATTACTAAATTTTAGAGGAAATTCTAAACACTTGTTTTGTTCGCAGAAAATAAAATTGGGCTTTGAATTTTGATACCTATATCCTCTCTTTGTAAAGAATTTTTAATTATTTTTAAAGCTGAGCAACCTCTTGTGAAATTATTTCACTTACTGTCTGTGTTTATAACAGGCCATTTTCAAAAGACCTGCACACTTCCGTTTTTCTTGCTCTTTTAGAATATAATCATTTCTGATTTGAATATTGGCCCAAATATTGGTCAAATTAATTAATGAATGTCTCTTTAACTTCTCTCTTAACTCTGTAAGTTCTACTCAGTAATTAATCATGAGATTTTTAGTTTGAGATACAAATCATAGTGGGACAAGCAGACAGTATATGCTTGTCGAAAAACATGCAATATACCTTTTGCCACAAAGATTTAAGTCTAATTAAGCCTTCAGATCTAACTTCCAGTTTGTAAAAAATATAAGGAAGAGGAATATATTAGACAACACCACAAAGAAACAGTAAGACACATACAGAAGAATAGAAGTCGGTGAAATGAAAAAAGAGATAAGGATTGTTATAGATTAAATGGCTTATTTTAAACTATTTCTGGGTAGATTCACTTTAGCATAAGCTACATATTGCTCAAAAAGTACGTATTATTCAAATATTTATTTTCCTTTTGTGATTATTTTCTTTCAAAGACCATAAAACCCTATAGGTGTTTTTTGACTAAGAAGGACTTTCTAGACCAGGCTTATTTGTACTTTAAAGGAGCAAGGTGTATTGAACATCGTCTAGTAATAGGTGATTTTAAATGTTTATAATTTTTTTTTTTTGTATGGGAAATTTGTTAAATGGATGAAAGTCTGTAAGACATTTTTGTCATGTGTATAATTTTTTTTCTCTGAGTTTATTAACTTAGGAGTATTTGTGAAAGGTACTGTGTAACACTGTTGTTAATTTTTCTGTAAGGCAATGGAAACATGAAGTTCTGCTTTATTTAATCTCGTATGTATGTTTATTGTATTTAAAGAATAAAGTCAACTACTAGTATTATTATTTATTTTAGCATGTAAATCTTCACCTCACCTGCAAATGTTACGTTGCTAAAATGTCACTGACAGAAAATGTTCCCAAAGTTATATAGTGATGATGGTTGCACAACTCTATGATTATACTACAAACCACTCAATTGTACACTTTTAAAGAATGAACTTTATGGCATGTGAGTTGTATCTCAATAAAGCCATTATTAAAAAACAAAAATGTCTTTGAGCCCTAGGCAGTATGGCTCAGTTAGTTGGAGTGTCTTCCCATATACCAAAAGGTTGTGGGTTCGATTCCTGGTCAGGGCACATATCCAAGTTGTGGTTCAATCCCCAGTCAGGGTGCTTATGGGAGGCAACCGATGTTTCTCTCTCACATTGCTATTTCTCTCTCTCCCTCCCCCTTTCTCTCTAAAATCAATAAAAACATATCCTCAGGTGAGGATTTAAAAAAAAAAAAAAAGACTTTTGAGAGCCTATAGTTATTTCCTGTCGGATTAAATCTCGGTTTTGGTTTAATATCCAAAGCTATTCATTGTATCCATACTCACTTGCCTATTTAATTTTACCTCGTCTGTCAGTGTACAGCTCCTCTAGGTAGTCTCATCCCCTTGATAATAACACTTTCATACTCTAGTGAATGCCTTTGTATATAAGAAGATAATCTTATGAAAATAGTCAAAGCCATAGATATTATACCTGTTTTAAAATTGGGGAGACAGTATGATTTATTTGGAACCACAGGGCTAATATTAGAAATCATTTCAACTTAAAGAATTTGAGCATCTTTTATGTCTTAGGCACTGGTTGGTATCGTTGGGATACAGAGATATATTCCTCTGGTCTCTGTACTCAGAGAATTTACCTGAGTTGCTTCTAGTCTCTGCCTCTGCTAGTCTTTCCATTTCTAGATTGTTCTATTGCTTGTTTTGTCCTTATTGTCTTTTTCTTTCAAAGCCTTTCTAAACTTTGTCCTCACTAACCTTCTTTAAACCTTCTTTTACTTTGAATTCCTTGGGACCAGGCCAATTCTAAATATATCTATAACTTGCCACATTTTTCTTACTTGGTTTGCATGCATATTTATCACCTCAGTTGATGAGAAAGGTTCTCAAGGGCATAAATAATTATAATTTTAAAAGTATTTTTCACAGTTTTTTTTCTCATTGTGCTGACATAGTCTGGTCCGCTAGATGGTTAGTAAAATTATGTTGAATAGAAAACTAAGGCTTTGCCTTTGTCTTGAATCTATTGGTTAGAGGGGAAGACCAAACACATACAAAGGATATATCCTGTTCACTATTGCAAAGCAGTGAATCAGTTGTGAAAAATGAAAAACTTAAGGTTAAGTGGGTAAGTGGTCCTGATGAGGTGTTCTGCTATGTTGTAACAGTTAACTGTAGCTTATAGTTAATTCTTATCTTCAGACCCACTGTAGCCTCAGTGGCTCACACTTTAGTACCGAGATAGTAGTTAGGCTGATTTCGGCTAGTGTTTTTCCGTGTGAAGGCAAAGCACTGCTTACTGGCCTCTCTCCTCTAAGGAACTGTTAGTGTTAGTTGACCACTAAAGCACATATTGTCTCTACAGGATGATGAACCATCCCATAACTGTATATTTTCATAAACTTTGTAGGTAAAGGTGAAACAGTAGAAGCCTTAAAGTAAACAAAGTAAAATGAAGGAGCATTCTATGTTATTGGAAGATACTGTTTATGGTAGAGTTCTCTTGTTCTCAGATATCCTGTACTATTGATTTTATGTCAGTACGTGGATATCCTATAGCTTAGTCAGATACCACTCTTACAGTGTTCGTCTGTTCATTTTGAAGACATTCTATGTCATTCTTGAGTAATAATAATTAGAGTCAAAATAAAGAAGGTAAAGCATACTTAATGTTTGTTTTTGTTATTTTATAAGGCACAGTTGGTGGATCTGAAATCTGAACTGACAGAGACCCAAGCAGAGAAAGCCGTACTGGAGAAAGAAGTACACGATCAGCTTTTACAATTGCACTCTGTTCAGCTTCAGCTTCATGCTAAGACTGGTCAAAGCGTCGACTCTGGTACCATTAAAGCAAAACTGGTAGGTACTTTAGAGGGTAACCTATACTTCCATGTGTTTTAGAGGATGAAGGGGATGATGTTTAGTGAGGCTTATTAATTATAAAAGGTAATATGTGTGAATTGTGGGAATTTTAGAAAATACAGGAAATGTAAAGATCAACACGATTATCCAAATCTCATCACCCAGAGATGATCAGTGATAATATCAGTAACCAACGGATACTTAGAATAGCATATTTTCCTATTTAAAAATATCTATATAAACATATTTAAAGGATATTTGTGATTTTAGCATATAAACAATTTTTTGCCCTCCTATATCAGTTAGGATTAAGTTCAGAAATCCCAAGTAACATTGGGATTACTCTTAAATAGTACAAATTTTTCTTGAATAGTACATATTATTTTCTCTCAATTAAAGAAGCTCAAGACAGACACTTCAGAGCTGATATGGCAGCTCCAAAGATAGCAGGGATTCAGGTTCCTTTTGTTACTATGCTCTGCCATTTTTAGCTCATGATTCTATCCTGACAATTTGTTCAGGTCCGCATTCCAGGAAGGAAGAAGGGAGAATTTAATCAAAAGGATGCTTCTCAGCTGCATAACCTTCTTTCAAGAACTTTTCATGCAGTCCTCCTCAGCAGTTTTTGCCAATCAGTGTAGCCATCTCATTGGCCGCATGTCAATCTCTTAGAGGGTCCCATGGCCACCTCCATTTAAATTGGAGTTTTCTGTTACTAAGGAAGAAAGGGAACATGGAAATTGGATGCCAACCAGTTTTCTTTTGCTCTTAATATATATTGTAAGCTTTTTCCGTGCCACTTGAACACTTTGTTATTTTTGTACAAATTTTCCATAATTAACCATCACCCTCTTAATCATTCTAGGTTCTTTAAGTAAATATAAGTCTCATTTTATTTTAACTCATATGTATTGAGTATGTACTGTGTGCCAGACACTTTGTTAACTGTAAGGGACACAGTAATAAATAAGACAGATATAGATTGGGAGATACAGAAGATAAAATGATGTTAATGATGAGAGTAAACACATTTTTAAGTTTTGCTTGTTTTCTGTTAATTCCATATGATTAGTTATTTAGTTTTTAATACTGATACGTTAGAATTTATTTAAATGAATATTTACATTCTCCTGAAGTCCTTTTAAATTCTGAAATTTTATGAATCTAAGTAAGTAGTGTTGTTTTATTTAATGAGTCAGATAACTGCTTCTTTGGAATATTTGATATTAACACTGAGAAAACAATGTTAGAATTGTTTTCACTAGGAAAGAATTCACCTAAAGTTTTAACAGTAGATTCAAAATAGGCTGCTATAGTGGAAGGACACTAAACCAGGTGTTTTGACTAATTTTGATAAAACAAAAAATTTAATACTATATAGTCCCTATTTATTACTTATGGAATTGAACTTGTATTTGTTCTAACGAATTTTACCTGATACTCAACATATCAAAATTTTCCTTGTAGTGATTATGCCACTGGGTAAATTCATTTGTTTGATGTTTTTCTAATTATAAAACTTTTTTCTTATATCTTAAGTCTGTCCCCTCTGTGGAGGAGCTGGTAAGTATGTTGTTTCTATTTTGCTTTAAAATGTCACGCTTTAGTGTTCTTAGTGCTTCCTTTGCGTAGTACATGTTGTCACATTGTATTTGAAAATTATGTTAATGATGGCAATTTTTAAATGTACTAGTCCCTGAAAAGTTCAGTGGATGGGCCCATTGCTCTTTTCTCACTACACGTTAAAGATTTTTTGTGTGTATGTAATTTGTATCCCTTATTTGCAGAGCTCATCAATTTTTGACAACTTCTCAGCCTGGTAACTTGCTCACATCTCTACTCCAAAAGAGCAATTGGTTTTTCCACTTGAGAGTTTTGAAAATATATTAAGCAGTCCCAGCTTCCATCTTTGCTATTTGAATTTATTCCCAGAGAAAGAATGTGCATGCTGGTTTCTTGGTCATCCATTGCATGTGCTATAACTTTTCAACAGCCTTGAGAATAATTGTGTGGCTTCACTGAATTTTAAAACCCTTTACCAGAAATTATTTTAGAAAATAACAATATATAAATTCTAAATATTTTTCCCACTACCCCAACCTAATCAGATTCCAGTTTGTCATATGGCTTCACTTTCTTTGAAAATACTCTGTTTGGCTATCTAAATACAAAATGAACTTCTTGGTTATTACTTAATAATAACAAACTGGTTAACTAAAAAAAAATTTTTTTTTTCTTTAAATCTGAAAGTGATCAGCTTCAGTTTGCTCAGCCCTTTTTTTTACTTGTATCTGTTAATTACAGGCCTGGTGAATCTGAGTTTGTCAGATTCATTAGGGGTTTGGATCATTAAAGTCAAAGCAGTGGCTTAATATGTTTCTCAGATTCCATAAATTTTATATAAATAGCTTGTTAAAGTAATTGTAAGTAGGTAATTCTCAACATAAAATTTACTTAGCCAGTAAACCAAAGAATTATTGGTCTTTTAGGAACTCTTTTTCTGAAACGAATAGCATTAACCTCAATAAATGTCATAAAAAAATTTTGTTCATGTAATCTAAACTATGGTTTTTTTTAGAACTGATACCTCTTCTTTTAAGGAATAGGTTCTTAAAATAAAGTGACATATTAATAATTCCAAAGTTGTTTAAAAAGGATGATTTTAGATTATTAGTTCTGCAAGTTTTTAAAAACAGTACCTAGAAATTATGTTCTACTGGTTCTTTTTTTAAACAGAACTTGAAAAGGCCTACTGACTAATTTCTTTCTGTTTATCACATACATAATAGCAAATATTTTTAATCAAAGATGTCATTCCTTTTTGGTTGTACAAAATTTTTTTTATTTTTAAAAAATTTTTTTTATTTTACTGCCTTGTATTTAAATATATTATATATTGATGATAACTATAGCATATGTTAATGTACTTACTATAGTCAAAAGAGTAGACCAAATTATTACCATAATATATTCCATGAATTGCTAAAAATTTGCTTAAATATCTCAGCTTCTTAATATCCAGAATAAAAAAAGAAATAATTATAATAATCAGTAACCATACAGTAGAAACTATTGTTTGCCATTTGCTCAAGATAAACAATTTTTCCTGGTGCTACAGTAGATCTTTTAAGTCTCATAAAGGGGACTTGGCAGTATAGTGAAGTGTCTTCCACAGCTTATTAACAAATAGAATCATATTTTCACAGGCTTTATAGGTTCTATAAATTAGTGAGGCAGAAAAAGCAGTTTTATAAATCAGTAAAAGCAATTCTAGGATAGATGCAAGTTTGTAGCATTTGGATTTTATTTTATTTTTTGATCCAAAAATAACACTTAAAATTCCATCAGGGCCCTTATCCACTCTCAGAAGGGTTTTGTTTGTTTGTGTGTTAATTTGAATTTGACTGCCCTCGGGCAGGATTTGCCTTCAGTTTTTTACTCTACTTTGTCTTGTACCTGCCTGTGTGCTCTATGTTTGGATCCTGAGAGCATTTACATTTGTACACACTGTACTTTCTACTTTTAAGGTAAATTGAACATTATTTCTCACATGTGAGCTTACGATTAAAATTTGATGAAAAAGATCTTGAGGTTATATCCTCTGGCTAATACCTATAAATTCACACATATGGACTATCTACCAAGTAGAGCATAAGATGGCATCTTTTTATGAAAGTTAAAAAGGACATGCATCCTTCCCTTAGCAGGCGCCAGTATTTTCCTCAGAAAACAGTTCTTCATTCACTTTAACATATGGACAAATAAATGAGCCAGGACCCAAAATTCAGTGATAATCTGTACCATATATATACTTATCTATAGAAATTTTTAACATGTAAATGTCTTCATGCAGTTATTGCAAGCATTTCTCCATGACCATAAAATGTTTCCTTTTAGTTAGAATATCTGTTTTAATTTAAGCATTGTAAGTTTCTGTAGTCCTCTAAAATAGATTAGCTATAAAACATATCTCTATGTAACTGAATGATTTTGACTGGCTTTATAGAATTATTGCATTCAAGTTCATTGAATATTTGGCCACAACCACCAGAGTGACTATTTTATTTTAGTCTAGTTTCTTGAGTTATTTTTTGAAAATAGAGAGCAGACTCAGTCATCCATTGAACCCACTTCTATTACTATGTGATAACATGAGCATAAAGAACACTACTTCTCAGCCCTGTCCGGGTAGTACGGTTGGTTAGAGCTTTGTCCCAGTACACCAAGGTTGTGGGTTTGATATCTGGTCATGACACATACAAGAAATAACCAATGAATCCATACATAAGTGGAACATAAAATCTATCTGTCTCCCTCCCTCCATTCCTTCCCTCCTCCCCTTTCCTCTCTCTCAACCGATTAAAAAAAAAAAGAATACTACTACTTTTAGTACTCTCACTAAAAGTGGTTCCAACACCTTCTGGTACTAGTTAAAAAAACTGGATCCAAATCTTTGTGTTCTTATTTTATAGAAATGAAGAGGTAAATTTATCATGTGCTTTCATCGTTGGTATTTAGATTGTGTACTTTTACATACTTTAAGGAATATGGTCTATTGTAGAGTCTTAAAAGTATTTGCATTACATTATGTTTGGTTTATTAATTACAATAGGAGAGAGAGCTTGAAGCAAACAAAAAAGAAAAAATGAAAGAAGCTCAACTTGAAGCTGAAGTGAAGTTGCTAAGAAAAGAGAATGAAGCCCTTCGTAGACATATAGCTGTTCTCCAGGCTGAAGTTTATGGGGCAAGACTGGCTGCCAAGTACTTAGACAAGGAACTGGCAGGAAGGTGTGTAAAAAAATGGGTGCCCTTGTATTCTTAGGTGACAAATGGATATTTAATGAGGTTGACTTTTACCTCTGGTAAGTAAAACATTAATCTTTACCCTAAGAGTTATTTTATAGTTGGTCATAGCTTACTGTTGTTAACTTAACATTGATAGCCTTATATAGTGCAGATTTATTTAGCTATACTAAATAAGTATTTCTGGTTTACACACACACACAATAGTAACTTACTGTGAAATGCGAACAATTGTCCAGCTGTGCTTTTCAGCCATTTTCTGTCTTGACACCATGACAGATAATGTTCACACGTACAGCACAGCTCCCATAAGGAATTCTTTCTGTGATCACTGAAACCTGATCTTTCTTGCCCCTCAAAAATATGTTGAAATAACTGATATTATCACAATATTAGAATTCTGCTTGCATTAAATTTTCACAGTGAATTATTCGAACTTTGGTGATTTATTATTAGCACTAAATAATTTTATGCTCATTGTCTTAATGTCACATTAGAACTGATGTAGAACAAATAAAAATAATTTATATCACCTTGAAGTGCACATTTTCTAATAACTTAGCACATTTAAAATAATCATTTTGTTTTAAAAAAACACTGTTGTTAGAAGAAATGTTTTTGTACAGTCAGCCTCATTTGAAGACTAGTATTCAGTAGTATATGAGTTCAATGACCACATGAAACATTAGTCTCATCAATGAAACATTGACATTAGTCTCATAAATTGTTTCTTTGATGTATTTGAATTAAGCATATGACTAAAGAAGGTCTCATTTATTTTTTTAAACTGGTTTTCCCTTAAAGACATCTCTTCTTTTCAGTTTTCATATCTTTGTAAATCTGAGGGACTTTGGGAGGTTCCCGAGTATTATTATTATTACCAATTTAGATCTTTGCAAAAGCTACTTATGTTCAGTAATTCTAAATTCTCTCTATAGTGTGCAAAATGAAAAACTAACTGAATTAACTCTCTTAACATGAAGGGTCCAACAAATACAGTTATTAGGACGAGATATGAAGGGACCTGCTCATGATAAGCTTTGGAACCAGTTGGAAGCTGAAATACATTTGCATCGTCACAAAACTGTCATCAGAGCCTGCAGAGGACGTAATGACCTGAAACGACCGATGCAGGCACCACCAGGCCACGTATGTTTGCTTTTCTCCCATTTCCCACTCAACCTCTTCCTTTATTTAATTGGAAGTCCTTTTCATTTTTTTATTCTATTAGTATTTAAAACCTTAATTTAAAAAGTGAAAGTGGGATTAACCTTTTTAAAATGTATACATATTTAAAGCTTCAATAACCTGTAGCTCTTTACAGAATTATGCCTTGAAAGTGATATTTCTGAAGATAGTGAACTATTGCTAGGAAATGCATATTGCTAGTACTTTGGCTCATATTTCAAAAACTTCCTGGATCATGATTAGGCATGAATTTGTTTTAAATTTGTTTTAAGCTTAGCAGAGAGTTAGTAGTCATATTGATAAATTAGTATGTATTTTTGGGTAGTTCTTTAAGAGAATTTTTGGTAACTCAATTCAAATGTAGGTTCTGAACTAATGTTTTCACCTGTTTGTTCTTGAATCAAGATGGAATTTGACATCTTTGTCTATGTCTAATTGTCTGCTTTTTCAGCCATCATGTACAGGAGTATTTCTTTTTATCTGGGGAAATCTTGATCAAATTTCACTGCAACAGCTATGTGATAATACAAACTTTAATGTAATTAGAGCATGTCAAACTCCTACTCAGTGGCCCACAAATCATAGCACCAGATAAAGCATGGCCTTAAGAACTAAAATTATTTGTTGGCTTTAATAATGCAAAGAATATTGTAAGGAGAATTGATATGTACATGGAGTTGGTGGGAGAGGAGTAGGGATAGCAATGAAAACTATACCATTGTCTTCTCTGGGACATTGGTGGTCCCCATTAACTTTAAGCAGTGGCTAGATGACAGAAGTTATTTTGTGCTAAATAAAGGAGTTTGAACTTGAACCTGATAATCATGGGATTTTTAAATAAAGTAGTGGGTTTAATAAGATTTAACATTTTTTGACAGTTTGGTACAGTGAAGAGGATATATTGGAAGATAGGTTAGAGAGGGTCTAATTGGAGGTGAGGAGATACATTAGAAAGAGACTACACTAACCCGCAGAGAAAATGATGAGATCAGGGCAAGTGCACTTGGCAGGAAGGACAGGATGACAGAATTGGACTCAAGAGGACTTGGTGAATAACTGCTTTTGGTTAAGTGAGTGAGTGAGAAGGAAGACACTAGGTTTTTGATTTGGGCAACTGAGTGATTTGATGCCATTCATTTATAAACCAAGTAGAGGAAACAGAAGGTTTGGGGGAGATGAGATCAATTTTAGACATGTGGTGTATGACATGCCAGTGGATAGCCAAGCTATATCCAGTGGGATATGACTGGAATTCAGGAGAGAAGTCTTGAGTTGAAGAAATATTAGGCAAATCATCCATCTATTTATAGAATTACTCACCCAGGGAAAGTATATTTAAGGTAAAAAGAATAGAAGGACAAGGGTGGAAAGAATCTCTTATGGAGTGAGGGGAGGAAATTGATCATCAAAGGAAGGAGCCTGAGATGGAGCTTGTCAGATATAGGCCATTTGGAAAGAAGTGTAATAGAAACCAAAGAAAAGATGGGGTTTCAGGGAGGGGCTAGTGAACAGTATCAACTTCCTGAAGGTTCAGATTGACTAGTGACAAAAAAGTGTTTGCTGGATGTAACCATATTGGTTACCAGTTACTGTAGAGAAGACAGGTGGGGGCAAAACCCTAATTACAAGGGTTGAACTAATGAGTGTGGGAGGCAAACTAGTAGATATGGTAAAGATTAACTCTGTGTGAAGGGTAAGGAATGATGGAGGAGGAGGAGGAGGGTAGTAGCTAAGGATGATGGTAAGCGATCGAAGGGTTTTGTTTTATGTTTGTTCATGGTCAGTATTTAAAGCTGGAAGAGGCTTGGAATTTTAGTTTGTATGCTGAATAGGGAAGGAGCTTAGTGGAGAGGGAAAGAGAAAAGGTATCAGAGAAGGAATTATTAGTGGAGCAAGATCCTTTATTTAAAAGGTAAATAAATGAATGAGCTCGAAGAAATGAGAAATGAATGATCCAGTTGGTAATTTGTTTTTCAAAAGTTTTACAACCAGATAAAATGGATATAGATTTTTACGGTATCTTCCAGTGAAGATAAACAATTACCTATTTTTATTTCTTTAAGATATTTGTTCACCAGTTAATTTCTGGCAATAATTTCTTTTGTAATGTCCTACAATTTAAAAAGAGATTTATCAGTATAAAGAATGTGACAAAAGGGTGAGAAAATCATCTGTACATTCTACTGTATTAACAGAACAACTATTTTCACATTTCCATTTTATCTATAATTACCTTCTCAACACTGTACTATGTATCAATGGCAGGAAGTTAATAAAGATTTTTTCATTTAATGAAAAGCAATTTACATGGCATAGGTTTACTCTATTTGGTATATTATTTAAATAACGCTAATTTTTCTTCTTTTCCCCCCCAATAAGGATCAAGACTCTTTAAAGAAAAGCCAAGGTGTTGGTCCAATTAGAAAAGTTCTCCTCCTTAAGGAAGATTATGAAGGCCTTGGCATTTCAATTACAGTAAGAAGTAGTGCTTCCAGTCTTCTTTTCTACAATTATTTAGTATAATTGTGCTCCTTCATTGGACATCATTGAGAAACAGAGTAGTCTGGATATATTTTCTAAATAACTGAATTTATCCCCATGGGTACCCTTTTTGTGAAGACCTTTTTTTTGTGTATATAAATCTTCCTAATAACTGTTAAGTATACCTTTAGTAAACCAAGTTAAACATTTTTATTATGATTCAGGTTATAGTTCTATACCGTATTCTGTGATGCTTTTAAGAACCTTTGGAAATGAGTATGACCATTTTCTTCTGTGTTAAATGGCTCCAGATTGTATTGTTTTTTTCTCTAGAGTTATGTGTTATCTTTCTCTTGTTTAATTTCTTTGTTGTCAATTTGACTGGCTTTTGGGTCTAAATAGTCTTCCTTTTTAAATTTGATACCTTTACAAAGAGTTGTTTTGGGTAACATTCCTGAGAGCAATCTATTATCAAATATGTATATTTGGAGTCATTTTGCTGCTGTTTGGTGCATTGTTCCAGATGAATGAATAAGGTGGTTTTACTCTAATTTTCACTTGGTAATACTTAGGCATTGCATAAGTTCATTTTATTTCTGGTATTGCTTAATATAGGAATGTTTCTAATAATGAAAAGTTTATATAATGGATAAACAAGATACACAGACACATGGACACACACACACAACTCTGATACTAGCTGGAAAGTGATATGTACCAAATACTGCATTTCATTAATTCTGTATTGCATATTTTTTTGCATTTGACATTTCTGAAATTGAGATTCATCTTATTTATGATCTTATAATTATTTTTATGATACATAAAAGAATGATTTGTTTTACCATTTATAGTGATTTAGATTTGATAAAATCAAATAGTGCTGTAGACTACTAATACATAAAATATTTTTATTTGTGTTTAAAAGAGTTTTGCTGATTGTAGTTGTATCGGGTTTTGGGGGGCTCTAAAATGCTTTTTAGAACAGCACATGTATGTTATTGTTTTACTAAGAGGCAACCCTTTAATACTCATAATGATTTATTTATCTTTACTTAAGCAGCAAATAAAATTTTACTCAGCATTTATAGAGACAGTATAGGTGCTTAGGAAATATATTTTTAAGAAAATATTTTATTTTTAGAATAGTCTGTGATTATACAAAGAGTAAATAATTTATTGCCTTTGTTTTGTTTTGTTTTTTGTTAGGGTGGGAAAGAGCATGGTGTTCCAATCCTCATTTCTGAGATCCAGCCAGGGCAACCTGCTGATAGATGTGGAGGGCTACACGTTGGAGATGCCATTTTGGCTGTTAATGGAGTTAATTTAAGAGATACAAAGCATAAAGAAGCTGTAACCATTCTTTCCCAGCAGGTAAGTTTCCTCTATAAAATTAAAGTTGGATCTATTAGTTGGTTCTTTTTGAATCTATTGAATATTTTACACTTCCCTAGGAGGTTACTCAAGTAGTAATGTGTTTCTGTATAGCTAGTAGGGTTTTTTGGGGGGCTTTTATAGAAGACATTTACCCAGACTTACTGAAAAAGAAGATTTTATTTGCTCTTTTCAACAGCTGTATAACTTTGATCAAGTCAGATCTTCTGTGCTATAGTGTCCTCATCTGAGACTGTAGGATTAAGTATGTTAATACAGTATAAAATGCTCACACAGGCCCTGACATTAGAGAGCAAAATATCATTAATGACTAAAACTATAGAAATAAAAGGTATCATAGGAAAAAATGATGCTAGAAGTGGATTTATAGTCATAAATATTAGAACTGAAAGGATCCTGAGAAGTCATTTAGCCCAACCTCTCTTACTTGAAACAAATAAACTAAGGTTCTTAGAGAAATAGATGATATGCTCAAAGTTGTAGGCAAATAAATGATAGATTCAGGCTTCATATCCAGAAATCACATTTATTATTCAGTGTACTTAAGCTTTGTTTTATTTTTCCTTTAAGATTAGGGTTGAGGGAAGTAGAGAGGCATTGGTAGTACATTGAGTTTTTGTTGGATCAAAAGTGTGGTATGTGAGTGTGGAATTGAATCTCAAAGTTGAAAGTGAATTTATAGCTCATTTTGTTCGACTCCACATGTTGCATAAACCTCTACAATATTACTAATTAAATAATTGCATTAAAGGATCTGTTGATAAAGCAGTTGATTCCATTGTGGTACATTGATGATTTTTAGAAAGCTCTCTCATATGAAGCCCAAAATCTGTTTCTCTGTCACAGCTACCCACAGACCTAATTCTGTCATCTAGAACTTTACTGAATACCACTGTATTATCTGCCTGTCTCCCCAAAATGGCATTTTTAAAGCATATTCGACAAGGGAGATCTAAGAATGCAAACCTAGCCTCTTTAAGTCAGTGTTTGCTCAACTCAGCTTGGCTGTCATCCAGTGGCATGAGAGTGGGGAGAGTGGCAACTCTGGTAAAGGAGATACAAATAGGTAGTCATAACGTTTGAAGGAAACACTAAGCACATATTAAAATTCTGAGGCATAACCTTAAACTGCTGGGAACAGAGGTGTACCAAAGACACCAACTCAGTGAGTAGCAGTAAAAAGTGGCATGCTTTCGTTTGAGCAAAAGCAGGCCATAATTTTCGGAGAGTTGCAAATACCAGACTTGTGTGTAATAAGAGACTTTAGTCTCTTATTAAATGACAATTATAGCTTGGAATATTTTTTAACATAAAATAGTCTGTAACCTTTTACTTGAACATAAAGTTGTTACTAAAGAATAATTGTACAAATACTACACATTTAGTCTAGTATGGTAGAAAGAGCAGGGACTTTGGAGTCAAATTTCTGTTTTTCTATTTTACTTGTTCATCGTATTGGAAAAGTTATCTGCTTTCTCCAGGACACTCTCAGGTTTCTCATTCTTGTGAGGGAGACTACAGTAGTGTTATTGTGATGATTAAAGGATTTAATTTTGCACAATAAATATAATGATTACTGTTATTACTGAACAAAATACCTTGATTAACACTGTTAGTGAAAGTTAAGAAAAGGTTTAAGACCTAGTTAGTAAAAAACAAGAAATCTGTGTAGAGGTTCCTTGAATTAGTCAAGGAAAAGTTTGTCTGACGCCTTTAGGTGTAACTTTATTTAATATTTATTTAGATGGATTTGCTGAATTGATATGTAAAGTACAAAATGGCATAATGACTTAAACTGAACATTTGTTCCAGAATTCTATAAATTGAATAAGTTAGGCATCCTTTTATTTTTAGATCTATTAGCAAAAATGTTGTGATCAATAGAACTACTGTAATATCAAAAAGAAATTATTTTAGAGAGGATTCATGGAGTTGGTCTGGACATGATGGCCTTTACGTTTTCTTCTACCTCTTGAGATTCTAGAATATCATTATTTGTCTTGAAAGGAAGCTGCCTGTGAGAGGTCTGACTACTGTTCCTCATCTCTATCCCCCACTTGAAAGAATTTAGAAATCCTTTTTTAGCCTGGCTCGGCGTGGCTCAGCAGTTGCGCATCGACCTAGGATCCAGGCGATTGGGGTTCGATTCCTGGTCAGGGCACATGCCCAGGTTGCGGGCTCAGTCCCCAGTAGGGGGCGTGCAGGAGGCAGCTGATCAGTGACTCTCTCATCATTGATGTTTCTGTCTCTCTCTCTCCCTCTCCTTTCCTCTGTCTGAAATCAATAAAGATATATTTTTTTAAAAAAGAAATCCTTTTTTAATTACGTTACAATAACTTGACTTCCTTATTCTTTCCCCATTTTAGAGAGGAGAGATTGAATTTGAAGTAGTTTATGTGGCTCCTGAAGTGGATTCTGATGATGAAAATGTAGAGTATGAAGACGAGAGTGGACATCGTTACCGCTTATACCTTGATGAGTTAGAGGGAGGTAGTAATCCTGGTGCTGGCTGCAAAGACACAGGCGGGGAAATCAAAGTGTTACAAGGTAAAAATCACTCTATAAGTTATTATTAATAAAATTGTAAAATATGAAAGCCTCAGATGTTCTTCAATAACACTTAATTATGGGGGAACCATCATTAACAGAATGAATAGCTTTCCCTTGCTTGTAGTTTTTATTGTACATCAGTAACTGCCAAAATTTTATTTATGTGTAAGTTCTTCTAGATTCATCTTTGATCTTAAGACAGGAACATTACCAGTTACTGAACTACAAGTGATCCTTGAAAAATAACTAAAATTCAAGTTTTCTAACTCTGAAGCAAAGAACAACATGCCTTTTAGAGCAAATATATCTTAATATCATCTATCTTAATGCAAATTCTTCTCTTATAGTACAATAAATAAGTGATTGGACTATTGTCTTATGATTGCTATTAGAATCAGAATATGTGATCTTGAGGGGTTTTGGTTTAGTTCCTTTGTCGTCATTGACTCATTTTAAAGAAAAATTGTAACACTCTTTTACATAGAGCAATGGTTCTTAAATTATGATCCATGGATCTCTGAGGGTCCCTGAGACCTTTCAGGGTTTCATGACATCATAATTTTTCATAAGAATTCTAAGATACTATTTGTCTTGTTTTGTTGCCTTTTTTTGAGTTAATATTTGTGCTGATGGTACAAAAGAAATTAGGGTAAAATTCCGGGTGCCTTAGCATGAATCAAGGCAGTGGTGCCGTTGTACCAGTAATTATTGTCTCTTTCCTGGCCATCCACTCCAAGTCCAAGAAGAAGAAAATGCTGGTCTCACTTAGGAATACCCTTGATGCATTTGTGAAAACTTCATTTTATTAAATTTTTGCCCTTGAGTACATTTTTTAAAATACTCCATGTGATGAGATGGGAAGTATGCATAAAGCACTTAGTCCACATGCTGAACTAAGATGCTGGTCCCAAGGAAAAGTATGTAAATGATTTAAGTTGCTAGCTGAACTAGCCATTTTTTTCATGGAGGTAATTTTTACTTGAAAGAATGACTGACAGACAAATTATGGTTCATCAGACAATTTGGCAGTCATTTTCTTTAAAATGAACACAGTGAGTCCATCACGTCAAGAAAAATAACTGACAGTATTTATGGCCAATGATAAAATGTGAGCTTTCAAGTGAAAATTGGAATGTTGTAAAAATATGCATCAACCACAGTGAATTTGATAGCTTCCCAACACTTAAAGACCTTTTCTAATAAGATTGGTAGTGATATTAATGAGTGTGTTTTTTTCATATAGTAAGATGATGTGTGTCAACTTTTGGAAATGCTACATAACTCGGTGATCTAATATTTTTCAAATGACCATGCGTGACATTACAAAATCCTGCATGGGGAAAAGAGCCATTCAAAGTACAAAGTAGATAAATGGATTTTAATGTTAACAGAATGCAAAGTGTTTATTGATCTGGTTTCAAATTCTATATTGTGAAATTTTGGTATAATATCAAAGAAGAATATTGACAGTTATCTGGAAAGGCTATTACTACTGTTCCCTCTTCAAACTGTGTATCTGTATGAGGGTGAAATTTCTTTAAAAACTGTACCAGATTGAACAGAAGCAAATAGGAGAATCCAGGATCTTCTATAAAGCCAGACATTAAGCATATTTGCAAAAATAATGCTAACTCCTCTGAGTAAACTTTTTGAAAAAAATAGTTATTTTCACTAAACAAATATTTATGTTAACATTTTTTGGTCATTTATAACTAAGTAATATTTTTTTTGAGAATTCTCAGTTTTAGTTGCCAATATGGTAAACATCAGTAGCTGACATAACACTAATAATGCACATAAAAAGAAGCTCTTTGGGGTACTTATTAAGAGTATAAAGGCATCCTAAGACCAAAACGTTTGAACTTCTGGCATAGAGTATTATAGTGAATGGATGAACTGTTGCCCATCTGCTAAATGTGTATGTTATGAGTCATATAAACAAAGACCCCAGTAGTAATTCCCCTCATGCATCTGGAACAAAACTATTGTGGCAAAACCTTACCCTCTTGGGGTGCTGTCCCTGTGATTTCATTACCTTCATCCTTTCTGCTATTTTCTGTCAGGATTAGAAGTCGTCTCTTCACTTTTTTTGCAGCTGAGGCTAAAAGACTTCTCTGTCACCTATGTAAATTGCAGCCCACTTAAATTGTGATGCCTAAGAATGTATGCTCTTAGGATATATTGCTTTTAACTGCTCAGTGCACAAAAAATGTCTCCATTGGTTATTGTTTAGCGCATGTCCATACTTAATAGCTCACTAAATAGATGACATTGTCAACTATTTGAAAGCCTATTATCTATTTCATAGATTAACCAATATTTGTTTTGTATTTATCTGGACATTGTCTTGCCAGCAAACTAGATTTTCAGCAGTAAGCTAGTGTATTCCTTAGTGAACTGAAGTTAAATAATCTTAACGCAAAATGTAAAAGAAAAATACAGTTTACAGTCCAATAGATATTTGTGTAAGTAAAATTGAATTTTATGATTGCATTTGTCAATTCTAAGTTTCATGCAAAATTTGGTAGGAATTTTTATCTAATTTTTATATAGGTCCAATAGATGATAATATTTATTTATTTACTTTTTTATCCTCACCAGAGGATATTTTTTCCATTGCTTTCTCAGAGAGAGTTGGGGGAGGGGGAGAAACAGAAACATTGATGTGAGAGAGACACTGATTGGTTGCTCCCTGCGCACCCCTCACCAGGCCAGCAATGGAACCTGCAGCCGAGGTCTGTGCCCTTGACTGGAACCCAAAACCCTTCAGTGTGCAGGCCAACACTCTAACCACCTAGCCAAACGGGCTAGGGTGATAATATTATTAATTACAGTGGGGATTCATTTCTTTGTTTTTGCTCTGTAAAATCACAAGACCTTTTTTTTTTTAGACTAGAAAGTAACTGCTTTTTTCCATCTTTCTTTTAGGATTTAATAAGAAGGCAGTAACTGATGGACATGAAAATGGAGACCTGGGAACTTCGAGTGAAACTCCACTAGAAGACAGTGCTTCTAAATTAGATGATCTGCACAGTCTGTATCAAAGAAAGTCTTGTTAAATTGACTGTATCCCCAGACAAGATTGTAAAATCAGACTATTCTGAACTTAGGGCAGTAGGGAAGATGGTGACAAAGACTATACAATACAAGCTCAAGGGAGGCCGTTTGTTGCCTAAATGAAAGGCGGGTACCTCAGGGCTTCATGCGAACAATTCTGAACGCCTGACTCCCTGTTTCTGTGGTATATCATAATTGGCTATTGCATGTAAAGCAATTTTGATTTTCTTAAAAAGTTGTAAAGCACCAAAGCATGTATTGCCCAAAGGGATATTACTGGGCTCTTAAGTACCAAATAAAGCACTACTGTTTTATTTGGTTCCTTTCCCACTTAGTAGAAGGATAGTGCTGACCAGTATTTTATAAGAAATAGCCTTTAAAAAAAAGAGAATAAATGAATTCATGTTATATATTCCAGAATGTCAAGTGTGGTGTTTCACAGGACAGAACTTGACTCAGTGAATTGCAGAAATGTAGGCTATACTTAATTGTCTTTTAACTGAAAGAATGGTTTTAGGTGTTTTTTAATTTATTTTGCATCCTGGTATCTAAATCAGTTCTTGATGATCATTTATGGTGATGAGTTTGCCGTTCCGCTTTGCAGTACAAAATGGTTTTCTTAAAGCAATCCTTATCAATCAGTGCTGCACTAGAAATAGTTTCTGTAGTGACTGTACATTGTACCTTTCCGATTTTTAAAAGAAATGCAGATAAGTGTAAAATACCTGTTCCCAATTATGTTGATCTCTGTGCATGGTATTGGAGCATTACGTTATTACTGTGTAGTCTCAAATGCTTTTTTTCTGGGGTCTACAAAAAATTCATAAAGTTTGTCTTGCTATGATAGTTCTGGCACTTAGAGATACATTTTTCTGTTAGTAAAAGCTCAAATTTATTACCATGTCAACGAAATACTTGGCATTCAAACAGCAGTTTCCCCTCAGAGTAACTCATTTGCCAGTCACCTAAAAGGCTGAGGTACTGGTGGGAAAGATAAGGTGAAGACGTTTTCATGCAGCAAGTGTTCTAGCTCGCTTTTCACCTCAGTGGATGTTTGATTAAAGTGCTTTTCAGATGCAGACTACAGATATGCTGGTTTTCTTATCCCAGGATTAAGCATGGAGTACCTGCTCTTTCATTTACTGTTCCGTAGGCCACTGTACCTTGGGGAAATGAAAATATTACATTTAAAGAGGTGATAGTTTTGCCAGTATCACTGTTTTAAGGATATACATTTAAAGGACTATTAAGTGGGGGGACAGCCTGCCAGGCTCTTAGAGTATTATCAGTTCTTCATTTCTAACAATCAGATGTTATGTGATATAACACATTTTCTTGTCTTTCCTAGATGCACTATATATTTGTTCATAGGTAACTCTATAAAGTGTATATACTTTATTGGTGGTTTTGCTATTTATAAATTTTGTTTTAACTATTGCTCATTTATGGTTTGTTTTGGTGGTTTTGTTCATCTGTATATCTCCATGTTCATTTGTAATAGAAATGCACTTCATGGTATATATTGTTACTGATATTAAAATACCTTGTAGGGTAAAGTTGCCTCCAAGCAAAAGCTAGTATTTAATTGCACAATGGAATAAGCAAGCTACATGTTGTTTGCTCCTGACATGCTAGGCTAGGCCTCTTAAAAGAAAAAAATGCTTTTTCCTTCTGCATCCCCCTCTGCTGCAAACACATAGCCCCATGCATGACTTGAGATCTGCACGTTGGAGTTTAGCCAGTGTACTCATGTAGTCAAGGACATTTACATTGTAGCAAATCTGAAAACTTGTTACTCGAAACCATGTTATTTTTATTTTTTTAAAACACAGTCTGTAGTGGACAGCCATGGTATTTTTTTTTTCTTTTTTTTTTTTTTTTTTTTTCAGAGAATACCTGTGACTGAATTCTTAGGAAATACTAGCTAAAACTTTTTGATTTTCAAAGACTACCTGATAAGTCAGTGAGAATTTTGTTAGAGCCTTCCATTGGCATATCTATAAGGATGCTGTGCAATATAAAGGACTGTGAGAGAGGGTTATGATGTAACTCCTTTCAAGGGCTAACGAGCAGGATGGACATTTTTCCGAGTGGTTTAAAATTTAAAATGGCATGGGTCAGCTCCCTTTTCATTCCTGCTGCACCTGGTTGCAAGCCTACTTTAGAGCACTGTTGCTCACATGCTACTGTGAGCTTCCTGACAGATGTTTAGAAACTACGCAGTTATAAGTTCATTTTAGAAATACGGTCTTTGGGGGATAGATTAAGAGTTACAGACTTTTTCCAAAGGGCTGAATGAGAAGCAGTTTTTTATTTTCACATGGACAGGAAAGAAACTCATGATGCTTAAGTTTCTAGGCAAAGTCAAACATAAGGAGAGAACCGCTGCAAAAAGAAAAAGGGCACAAACAGAATAGCCGAGAAAGAATCTTCAGCAGTGTGAGGGTTGTGTGTATACAGTTGCCTTTCAGCCTCTAAACTCTCTCCTACAGGAGCTGTTAGGAGTATGATGGAAGGACATTTAGGTCATTACACGTGGTAAAATAGATTTATGAGAGATGACAGTTTACAAGTCTTGGTGATTAAAACTTAACAGCTGTCAAAAGTTAGCAGTTTGTCTTGGTGCTGGTTTTATTTCCCCCCCAGTGAACTTACTTTGTCTTTATGTTTAGAAACAACATGTATGTATTCATGCCTCACTTGCACATTGACACCCTTATGGTAATTATAAGTGACACCCTATTCCACCTGTCCAGTCTTCCACTTAGGCTCGGCCTCAGATGTATAGGGTTTATGACAAATGGAATATATCTAGTTAAGTTGAGTTTAATATTTTTTTATTAGCCTGTAAATAAAGATGGCATCTTCTACATTAAAAATGGCATTGATCTCAATTTCTTTTAAATGAATTTTGTTTCTTACACATTAAATATTTTGGTTTATTATATATTTCTAATAGCTTCTATTATTTGTACCAACAAGTCATAAAGTACATGCAAAGGCTGAACCTAGTTACTGTAGCAGAACTTTTTTTTTTTTTTTGGTGGAAATTATCTTGTTTGGTGTTAGGAGCTGTTTAATCTGAGTTAGTTAAAAGTATGTTGGTTGGAAGGAACTGCCAGAGCAACTGTGGTACTGGCTTCTGTTGGAATTTAGCAGGTGGCAAAACTCTAGTCTTCTTGGGTTGGTTTTGTATTACAAATACTGATAGCCAGAGTTATCTATGAGGATAACATTGATAAAAATTAGAAAGCCAGCCCTACTAGATAGTATGTAAGAGGATATTCTTCCATTTTATCACCTAAATATGTATAATTTGGAAGTTCCCAAATTGTGTGTAAAATAATTTTTTAAAACATCTGTAAACATTGCTCAGATGTGTGGGTTTTTTTTCTCAGAAGGATTACTTGTTATGAACATTTAGAAATACTTTTTTGTCTTGGACTAACCTTGATTTAGTGCCATTGTGATAATGCTTTCTATGTATCAGTTTAAGCTCCCAATCAAACAAGTAATTTGGAAAAGTTTCCCTAGAGCAATGTCACATAGGGTATTTATATTTATGAAAAGATTATTTGTATTTTCATTGTTAATCACCGTTCTATTTTAGGTGGTTTTATAACTTTTTTTTTTTTAACTAAAAGGTAATTGCAAATGACCATGTGTTGTTGGTGCTAAATACTTGTTTGATAATAAGTCTTTTTCAGGTGTATTTTGAAAGTTATGATCACTGTTGTGGCAGCCACAAGAATGCATCTGTCATCTCCACCAGGAAAGGAGCATGCTGGACTGAAGGACCCCCCAGCTCTGCACTCTGAAATCTATTGCTGCGTTAACATGAGGCTCTACTTCTCACACCCTGCTCCAGCCACTGACTGGTGTTCAGAGGGAGCCTATGACATCTTGACTTTGGCTTGAGGACTCCCTGACAGTCTTGCTAGACTCCCTTAGCATTACAGTATACTTTCAGTTGCTTTCACCCATCCTTCCTCCTTTCATTCACCTGGTGTCGTATCTGCATCGGGGTCCGGTTGTCCCTCATGCTCCGAACAACCCCAGCTCCCTCCTGATTTTTCCTCACCAGCGTTGTCCCTATTTAGCCCACTACACAGCTGACCCTTCCTCGGTCTTGGTGTCTGCTTCTAGTAGGACTCAGGCTAGCACAGTGGACCAGGAGTGAGATCTGAGGAAACAGGCTAATAGGAGATTAGGAGCTGGCTCATCTCCCACCCGAAGGGTAAAGACGATGACATCCTGGTCTGTAAGTGGGATACATCTATGCAGTCTTTGGCACAACGTCATGGCCCAGCTACGAAATACTTCACAGATGGTGTGCAGAAAAGTTAACATCGCAGGCCTGAACCTGGTTGCAAGGTCGCCCTTGGCTAATGTCCAGCAATGAGAATTTCAGGAGTGTTTCCCCCCATTTCCTAACTGATAAGAGTTGTTTACTGAGCCTGAGATGTTTGTACAAACCATAGGGCATATGTTGAACACCTGTTTTCCTTCTGGGAATCTGAAATTTTGGTAGGTGCCAGGCAGAGTGCATCCACGTGACTGAGCCTGATAAAACCCTGGCCTCCTATGCCCACGCCCAGGCTGGAGCAAGCTTCCGTGATGGACAGTACTTTATACATTTTACACATCATTACCAGGGATTGAAGCTCATCCTGTGTGACTCCACTGGGACAAGACTCAGAGCTTTGCCTGGTTTCCTCGGGTTGGTTCATGTGCCTTTTCCCTTGGCTGATTCTGTTCGATGTTCTTTAATAAATCATGGTTGTGAATACACTTCTGTGCTTAGTCTTGTGGGTTTTTCTAGCAAGTCACTCAACCTGGGGATGGTCTTGGACACCCTAGACACAGGTGGTAACTTGGGCAAATGTCCTTATGGAGAGGAATTCTCTAGAAAGTCAGTGACACATGCATTTGCTAAACATGGGGAGAACACCACCTACCAGAAGAGCAGTGTTGATTACTGCTGAGTTGGCGCTGATGACCTATAGAAGGATGAGAGACTGAGGGCTGTTAGCAAGCTGTTAGTGCTGAAATACAGCAAAACTTAACAGAGCCTCAAGAACATTATAAAATTCCATCACAGTAGTGGGAGTTTACAACAAAACTCGCAAAGAAATTGAGAAAGGAATATTTGAACAGCAAAAGTATGAAGATTGTTTTGAAGTTCAAGTTAAAAGGGTATTTGGTTGTAAAAGGAAGACAACAGCCACGGCCAGGTTCAGGTGGTTGGAGCGTTGGGGATCTAGTCCCCAGGTGGGGTGCGTACGGAAGGCGACGGATGTTTCTCACATCAATGTTTCTCTCCCCCCTCCCCCTTCCTCTCTCTCTAAATCAATAAAACATATCCTCTGGTGGGGATAAAAAAACATCTGGCTTATAAATAGGTGAACTATAAGAAGGAAAATTAGATACACAAAATGTAAAATAGACTGGGTTCTGTGGCTCTGGAAAGGTAAGTTGCAATTTGCTAAAGTGACAGCAGGGGGAAGCAGATTCAAATGTGATAATTCTGTTAGAGCGGGAAGGCTTTATAAACAATCAAATAAAATACTCTGTCCTCGCATGCAGTACACGTGTTCAGCTGTCTACTGTGTGGCCTCACATGTAATACATAAGCTCAATTGAAAAAAATACTCTATTAATGAGGATGAGTAAACTGAGGGCCAGAAAAGTTATATTACTTGTCCAGGGTCACACAGGTAGTGCCAGAGCCAGCACTCAAACCCCTCAATTGTACTTTAATTGGCCACTTTCAGAGAGGGGAAGGGGAAACATAGATGAAGCTGTCAGCTCTTCAGTCTTTCTCCTCAATAATTGTATTGTCCTTAAATGGTGTGAAGTTCAATGGAACCTAGGATTCAGTCTTAATTTCAAAAATGATGGAGCTAGATTTAAACTGCACTAGAAATAGTTTTTCTGTGGAGTGAATGTTACAATGCCAGGCTGAAGTTACATAGTAGATTCTTAGGTCCTGGAAACTAGAGCATTCTGATCCCCCCCCACACACACGACCTCTTCGTTTGTACATACAGTCCCCATGTTCTTTAGGAAGCCAGGCGGCAACAAGAATATTTGTGATGTCAGAGGAAGGCGTCAGTCTCACGAGGTGCCTCCCTAGGGTTATCCTTGCCATTGTTAAGGGCATTTTTACTTCTCTCTGGGGCTATAACAAATGAGTTATCCGCTTCTGAAAACTCAGCATGTCCTCGGGTGAGGATTAAAAAAAAAATTAAACATTTCTATAGAGAAAATTGAGTGCTGCTTCCTCCACCAAATTACCACAATATATGGTTGCACGGGCCGATGCTACCAAACCTTCAAAAAGCTGGTTTTGAATGCCTGGCAGGAGAAAACCTGAAAAGACAAGAAAATGCCTAAATTGTTTTTGTCAAGCTAATAAAACATGATAAAGATGGACACAAAGAAAGAAAATGAAAGGCCTGTCTTACAAAAGGATATTAATGCAAAAATCCTAAATAAAATGTCATCAATGTGAAGTCAGCAGCACTTTAATGGACTTAAATGGTGATGGAAAGAGACATGACTTGAGGTGGTGAACGCACAGTACAATATACAGATGATGGATTTTAGAACTGTACACCTGAAACCTACATAATTTTATTAACCAATGTCACCCCGATATATTCAATTTAAAACAAACGAAAACCAAAGTCCTGTTCTCCACTTTCTGTCATGATTAGATCATGAGCCAGGGGAAGAAATGTGCTGATGAAAACAACTGCCTTGAAAAAAAGTCTTTTCTTCTGGACTACTATTTTAGTGTTAAAGTACGATATACAGCCCACTGGGGAAAAGAAAGGCCTATTGGGAACAAACACTTTGATAAGTATTATCCCACTGAATTCTTATCTGTAAGCCTTGGAGGAAGGCACATGAACATCACTTTTACACATGAGGAAACTGAGGCTCAGGGTTGTATATAAAGGCAGACTGAATATACAAATGGATAATGGTCAGACCATATATAAAAACAGAACTCTGGTTCACAGCCTATAGCAATAAATGCAAGAAATCAACCCATTATCCACAGTAACCAGCCCAGAAAGCCAGCCTGCTATAAGTCAGACCTATAGGAAGTCAGACTACTATTTCTAGTAACAATGCAAGAAGCCAAACAATAACACCTGTGAAAATCGACCCCAAATACCTTAAATTTGATTAATAACTGTTAGCTTCCCTAATTTTTGTCCCCACTTCCAACTTAAGACCAACCAGAGAAAACCAATTATGTCCCCCTAACCAATTAACAGGAGGCTCCACTTCTAGTCAATCCCGCCTAACTTTCCCCAGACCAGCAGAGTCCTGTTAGGACACACCTGAAGCCTCCCCTTTGCCCCACTATAAACCTTTCCCACTCCTTGCTGCCCGAGAGTCTCTCTCCACCAAAATGCAATTGATGGTGGCTGATTCCACCACAGCAGCAAGCTCTTGAATAGCCAATGCTTGTTCTCATAGGGCTCGTCTTCATTTATTCCCGTAACACCTGGCCCAGCCTTCAGCTGTTGTGTGGCAGGTCAGGGTCTGGACCCAAGACCCATCTGGCCCCAAGCCCGTGCTTCGTCCACTGTACCACTTGTCCTTTCTTCACTCCTGAGCCGCAAGCAGATGCCAATGAGAGGCAGAGGCGTTTGATCTGGCAGTTTATTACGTTAGTATGCGTACAAAACCACGTAAACGCCACAAAGTATGGTTTACCCTCCACAATAACCAATAGTGTGTGACATTCCAGCACCCTCACTATTTTCACGTTGATACTTTTCACAGAAAGTTATAATTGTACAAACAAGATTATAATACGTTGTTTAGAGAAAGAATCTTTTTGGTCCACATTTCCTATTAAAAGAAACAAACACATATTTTCCTCTTTGGCAAAAGAGGTTAAATCCCCCACAGTGAACTCACAAAGCAAACTCAGATAAAAAACCACTGAACATGAGATACAGCTGAGGTCTGGGCTCATTGGGAATTACAGACACATACTCAAGGGGAAAAGTGTTCCTCACAGAACCAGTTCAGTGCCCAACCATCTCAGTAGAAAGAGCTCTACTTAGATTTGGCCTCGGTCACTTCTGTAAGAACACACTTCAAATAACTTTTCTGTGTTTCAGAGTACAATGTGCTATTTCTGAAGAAAGGCATGAAAAGTGTGGGCGTCTGACCTCAGCAATATTTTTAATCTGAGGTACAAAAGCATCTGACACAGTGATTCAGACTGTAATTGCTGTGCCACCTTCATTCAATTTGTTGGGAGAGCTGTTTTGGTTGCTGTAAAGTTTCGGCATTTGGCTTTGCAGAGAGTGCGTAAAGGTGGGCTTGCGTGTGAAAGCCATACAGCATCTGCCAGGTCTGTGAGCAAGAGCAGAGTGTGATGAAGGCCGGCTGCTCAGGGATCCAGGTCCTGCAGGCAGGGCAGCAGGTCCCCTGCAGGAGAGGCCTGCACCGTGCAGGCCTGGACCCTCCACTGCATGTCCCTACCTGAATCCGAGTCTAAGGAACCAGCAGTTGCTGAGGTGGTTGTGTGTGTGTTTTTTTAATCTACAATCATAATTGCTAACAACCACCCTGGTGTGCTTTTCATGCTTCAAGTAATTTCATTCCTTCCAGGAGAAGAATGCCAACAATGCTTTTAGTTCTAGTTATCAAAGGAGAGGAAATGAGCTACAATAGCAACATGATTAAGTTTGAACGGACCTGCTGCTAACACAGTATCAGAGAAAATGTACTTAACAAGTGAACATACCATTAGATACGTTTTTGCAACAGCTGCGTCCTCCCACTTAATCTCTGTGCAGAACTAACATCTGATAAAGCAAACTTAAGTTACTTCAATTCCTGTTAAATACAACTGTACAGACTGCACATTTTACACCAGAGCAGCTCAGTATCACAGTTGGAGAAATGAAAATGCCATCTCAAAATTTTCATTTTCTAGCCCATCAGACCGTCGCCCTAAGGGTCAGAACAAAACCAGCTGCACAGCTTTGTAAACAGTATGAGAGGTGGTCTCTGGGATTCCACCGCAGGATCCTATTAAATCGCACGCGCACGCGCACACACACGCGCACACCAGCGCGCGCACACACACACGCACAAGCACACACACACACACACACGCGCGCACACACACGCACGCGAGCGCTCCCTCGAGCCCATCTCCCCCTTCGGCGCGCCCGCGCTCAGCACCGCAGCCCGTCTCCCGCCGAGCTCACAGCAGCGCGGTCACGGCCGTCGCGCCGAGGGGTCCGAGGCAGTCTCCGGGCGCTGAGTAGGCGTCGGCCGCCTGGGGCGGGCAGTCCGGCTCCGCGCCCTCCGCGGTTAAGCAGCCGCCGGCTTTG